TTGTGTATGGTGTTAGAAAGTGTTCTAGTTTCATTCTTTTACAGGTGGTTGACCAGTTTTCCCAGCACCACTTGTTAAAGAGGTTGTCTTTTTTCCATTGTATATCCTTGCCTCCTTTGTTGAAGATAAGGTGAAAAAATATGGAACGCTTCACGAATTTGCGTGTCATCCTTGCGCAGGGGCCATGCTAATCTTCTCTGTATCGTTCCAATTTTAGTATATGTGCTGCCGAAGCGAGCACTGGCTCCTCCTTCTTAAAAACTTTCTGGCTGCACTTCATGGCATGTAGGACTTAGCTCCCCAACCAGGGATCGAACCCGCACACCCAGCAGTTGAAGTGTCGAGTCTTAACAACTGGACGGCCAGGGAGATTCCCTAGCTTCCCCTTTTGAAAGGGGTGCCAAAGGATTTCTGACTCTATGACAGATGTACTTTTAGCTTCACTCCTGTGGTATCTGACTCCTGACTGTTGCCCCCCATGGCACTGGGACTCTGAGACAAGAACCGCAATGCCTCCTCCCTGCTGTACCCCCACACAGAGCGCCTCCCGCTCTGGCCCTGATACACCTGACCTTTCCCCTCAGCACTCCTCAAACTCTGGAGGGTGGAGGAACTACAGATGGTCTTGCTGCTCTTCTTGCTAGAACACTGCGGGATGTACTTTGAAAATACCCTTTTTTTTTTTTTTTTTGCATCATGAGCACATTCAAAATTTTACCTGCAGCATAAGCTACGAGTCCCTCCCCTGGAAAACAGTAATGAGTGGCTACTATTTACAATACCTGCACACCACAGAAGTCTTCCCTAAGAAAGATGTAGCTGCCCAGCCAGGGTCAGCTGTTTTCAAGTGCTCTGTGAATACCCACTTATTAAGGGGCTCCCCAGGTGGCTCAGTGGTAAAGAATCTGCCTGCCAATGCAGAAGATGCAGGAGAGCAGGGTTCCAGCTCTGGGTGGGGTAGATCCCCTGGAGGAGGAAATGGCAACCCACTCCAGTGTTCTTGCCTGGAAAATCGTACGGACAGAGGAGCCTGGTGGGCTACAGTCCATGGGGTAACAAAGAGCTGGACACGACTGAGCGCACACACACTCACTTATTATTCATTGCTTTGTCACCCATAGCACATTCTAGAAGAAAAGCACTGGCAGAGCCCAGCAACCCGTGAAAACTGTGGAAGAAACCCGAAATTAGGAGGGTAACTCTGACGGCCAGGAAAAGGGAGTTTGCCTTTTGAAGCCCATCCCTGGGCCTGCACCTCATTTCACAGGTGAGGAGACCGAGGCAGAGAGGACGTGGGGCCTGCCCAAAGCTACAAAAGCTGAAAGGAAGGCAGGGAGCGTTCGAACGCACAGGTAGGCAACCTGAGAACCCTGCTTCTTTTCTCTTTTCCTGTCAGCTGAGGTAAAATACACCCAGCACTCCGTTTACAGTGTTATCCATTTTTCAGAGCAGAGTTCAGAGGCACGAAGCGCGTTCGGCAGCCGGCACCCTATCCGTCTTCCCAAACTGTCCTAAACTGCCGTCCCGCCTGCCGCCGCAGCACCGCCTTCTTTTTCAGAAGAACTAAAACATTTACACTGAGCGGAGGCCCGCGTGCTCCGCAAAATCGAAAAGACAGAGAAGCAAACACGGTGTACCCGTCAGTCTCCGCGCCCCTGCGCCTCAGGTAACTCAGTACCTGGCCGCGCAGGCCCCGCCCTCTAGCCCCGCCCCGCGGAGACCCCGCCCATCACGATATGGCCCCGCCCCTTCTCGCGCCTGGTCCCGCCCCGCCCTGTGGCCGCGCTCTAGCGCGCGTCAGGGGGCGGAGGCCCGCGCGGGTCGAACCATGGTGACCATCAGAATGGGGAAAGGCGGAATTACAGCCGCCGCGGTGAACGTGGGTGTGAGGGATCAAAGCAGCTCTCGTTCATTTTTGTGTTGCGCCAGGCGGTAGTCCCTTTAGCAGCCTGGGCCTTCTCTGGCTCGCCAAGTATTCCTTCTATCTTTTGGAATCGCCCATTCTTTTGCCCAGTCAGTAGACGAGTCTAAAAGCCGACGTGTAGAGGTGGAACTTGGTAATGTAAATTGAACTGTTTGGCGAAAGGCCAAGATATCCCAACCAAAGTACTTTGTGTTAGCGTTCCTGCTGGCATCAGTGTCTAGGCGAAGGGCCCTTTCGCGCTCCGCGCGCTGGGCGGACGCCTGGTGCCTCCCTGCGGCGTCACAGGTGGTCTTTCCCTGCCGCACGGCCTGACGGGAGGAGGACGCGGTGCTGCCATGTTGGACGGAACCACCCGCTGTCTGAGGTGGGGTAACCTGGTTCTCAAGCCGCCTGTAGACTGACCGAGACAAGGGTGCTGCTCGGCCTGGGGCCGGCGCCTGTGGCACGGGAGTCGCCGCAATCCCCGGGGGACACAGCCCCACCCTGGGAGCTCGTCCGGGCGCGCGGGACGGCGTCGGGCCGCGGGCGCCCCCCCGTGCCCGTGGGCGGCCCCGCTGCACGCACATGGCCGGGAGGTAGGCGCGCGGTGCGGCCTGTACCCCGCCGCCGCCCGAGGAGTTCCCTGCCCCGCTTGCAGGCGAAGGCCCGGAGGCGCAGGCGCAGGACGCGGCGGCCGAGGCCGGGTCCGAGGGGGCTGGCGGGGAGCCGGACGGTGCGGCGGAGGACGGCGGCGCGGACGAGCCCTCCTTCAGCGACCCCGAGGACTTCGTGGACGACGTGAGCGAGGAAGGTGAGGCGGCGGGGCCGCGCCGCACCGAGGTTCCCGGTCCCCCGCCTGACTCCCCGCACCTGGGGAAGGCTTCCGTGAGCGCCTGGATCGCCGTCTTTTCTCCGAAAGAAGGAGGGGAGCAGGGGGAGACAATTTGGCGAGCCAGACACTGGCACTGGCACTGCAGCCGGGAATTTGGAGGGCGGCGAGGGCCGGCGGCGGGCCCGCAGGAGCTGTGGCCGAGTGTGCAGCGGTGTGGTCACTAGGGCCCGGCAGGACGCTCCACGTGCCGCACGGTCCCGGGTGACAGCGCTTCCTCTGAGTTCTGGGTGCCCCGAGTGACCCGCCAGACCTGCCTGTCAGAGGCCTGAAACTGACTCGGTGCCGTGTCTGCGGAGTGGGCAGACTGGTTTCTTTTGCCCCGGCTGCCCCACAGGAGCGTCTGCCCTCAGAGGTCCTCAGTGGGACAGTCCCAGGCAGACTTGCCAGATTCCTGTTCCCATGTCTTTTCCTAAATCTGTAGGCATGCTACCGTCCTTCTGTTAGCAATAGTATTCTTTAATTGTAGTATATTATAACTTTGGTTCTGCCTTGGTTCCGACTAACAGGCATTTTTTCTGCTTTTTGCCTGAGAGGGTCTGTTTCCTAAGGTGACTTCTGATGATGCCTGATCTCATTTGTTTTTGTTTTTGGGTTGTTTGTTTTTAAGCCGTTGTAACTCTTTAGGCTCTTTAGGCTGGGAGCACATCAATGGATTCTTCTCCATATTGGCCACGTTATTAAAGTGGAATAATGAGTAAAACACCATTGAAATAGCTGATGAAACACCAGAAAAATAAGATGTTACCACGTAGAGATAGATTGGCGGGGGAGCATGTCTCATCACTGAGATTGAGTCAGAATCATAAAGAATTTCACATAAAATGAGAAAGTTTAGAGAACATAGAGTTGTTTAACTTAGAAACGTGGTTTATTTTAAATTTTTTTACCAAGTGCTTCTTTTTTTTCATCCAGTTTTATTGAGAGGTAACTGATACACAGCACTGTATAGGTTTGGGATGTACCCCATAATGACTTATTTGAAACAGAAGTTTAAAGGTTATCGTCAGCACTGTCTTACACTTTGTTTCATGAGCCAAAAGACATTTCAGCATGAAAAGCAGGAAAGGCTGCACTTTCCTGTTCATGAGGACTTGGGAGCTGCTGACCCAGTCAAAGTCCCTCACCCATTCACCTCTAACAGAATGTGTTTCCTGGGGAGTCGGTTGCTGAGAATCCACAGAGGCAGTGTTCCTTGGTAGCCCCCCCCCCCATTATGTCCCCTCAGCTTAAGACCACTGCTCTTTTTTACTGCCCTAGTTTTTCTTATATTTTAAAATCTTAAGTTGTGGTTTTAAAGCTCATTTTGAGTTCTTCAGTATTCACTTTTTTTTTTTTTAAGTATTATTTGAACACACCTAATCACACAGGATTTCTGAATTGTGACTTGTGGTGTGACAGAGGATGCTGACGTGACCTCAGGCCAGTCAAGCCAGGTGGCTGCTGGGAGGGCCTCTGGAAGCCCTTGTGATCCTGATACGTCTTCAGAGGGACCTGTGAGGCTCCTGGTCCTAAGGAGCTAAAATCGAGCAAGCTGTCGGTCTTCTTGAGGCCAGTGGTTGCAGTCAGTAGCTCATGTGTTTTCTGTTTGGTGAGAACTGTCCTGTAGGGTCAGAGTGATGCTCAAGGTACTGGTTCTTGTGAAAATGAACTGAGTCTCGTGACGAGCCCTCCTGGGCGTTCCACAGCTCTGGTGCCTGTGTCTGCCCCCCTCCTCCCTGAAACAGATGAACTGTCACACAGTTGCATCTTAATGACAGGGTCTTTCGTCCTTGGTGCTCAGCGAGGCAAACGTGGTAGCGGTTCTGACCAAATGTCTTTGCTGCTTAAGTCTTGGGACGTGCATTTTTTGTATTTCTTCTGGAGTCAGATTGGAAATCCATGAGCCAAGAGGAACCAGATGCGTGGGCCGTGATGAGAAGGAAGTGTGTTTGTGTAGTTACTATGCTCATTCCCTTACTGTGTATGGGCGGGTTCTTGTAAAGCTAGACACTTCAAGATTGTGGGAAGGAGTCCACGGTTTGTATAAAATCTGAGCTTCTTACTGTAAACCTTGTAAATTCAGATCAGGCTTAACAGGTGATGTAAAAGTTTGGTAAGTCAGCTTTAAAAGTCACCCAAGCATCTGACTCCAGTCTCTGTAGGGAAGATACCCTAATCTGCCTCTTTCCTTCTGTTTCCTCTTTGTTTGGTCACGATTTTAGCTTCATTGAAATTTAAATGGAAGTTCTTTTATATAAGGCAACATTTCCAATATCATTCATAAAGGTGTTGAAATTCATCAGAGGTAGTTTATAACAGGACTTGCCTCTGGAAATTACTTTTTTTCCTTTTTTAAAGACTTTTTATTTTTGAAAATTTCAAGCACTAAAGTGGAGAAAATTCACCTCAACTTTTTTTTTTCCCACCTCAACTTTTGAAAATAAAATACAACAAAGAATATTTTCTGACATGTGTCTTATATAATGTTGAAATACTTAAAAAACTAGTCATAATTAGGTTCTAGAACACATAGATACACAGATAATAAGCCTTTGTTCTTCAGCTGTTGTTTAAAAATTATCTTGGACATTCATTTTGCCTGTACAGACAATCCTGAAATTGTGATGGTTTGAATTACAACGGTTCAAAAATGGGTTTATTGGGAAGTAACCCCATTATAAGTCGAGGAAGATCTGTGTTACTGAGAGCACTTAAGATTTGGTTCTGTGATTTTAATTTCTGTTCTGTCACATGAACAGAATGCATTTTGAGCTTTTGCATGAAGTTATGAAAATACTAGTTGACGTTTCTTGCTATGTTCCAAGCACTGTTCTAAGTGTTTACAATCTAATGTCTAAATGGCTGGTGTCTCCCTGTGATAATACCGCCAGGTATTTTGTCCAGCTGGGGACACCGCAACCTATAGGACGCATCACTTGCGTGCTTTCCTGAGCTTCTGTAGTCTTAGTTGCCTGGTTTAAGTGCCAGTCTCCGTCCCATGCTGTCTTCAAACAAGGCTGCTTTACGTGAAGAACCTTGGGTGATGAGTTTGTAAGAGAGGTGGGTCGGAGAAGGCTTACCACAAGTGTTCCTCAGCTCACTTTGTTTTTTTCCGGTAAAAGTCCATCCTCTTTGCCTCTTCATTGTTAAAGGCTTTTTTAAAAAAATTCATTTGGGGATAGATGGGAAAGTTTTAAAAAAATTTTTTTAAATTCATTTAATATTGCCTATTATTGACATATTTTGACTGTTAGGGGGTGTGCAAAGAGTTACAGTCCTCCCAATTATTTCAAGTTTAAATTTTTAGTCAAGCCAGGGCTGTAATATCTTAATGTTTGGAGCAAAAGCATTCAGATTAATTATGCATTTTTTACTTTTTGGAGATTTGTTCAGTGTGCTAACCTGGTGCATTAACTTGGTGAGAGAAAATCACTCGGCACACCTTCCCCTCCTGCAGAGTTGCTGGGGGACGTGCTCAAAGACCGGCCACAGGAAGCAGATGGGATCGACTCAGTGATTGTGGTCGACAACGTGCCTCAGGTGGGGCCTGACCGCCTGGAGAAACTCAAAAACGTCATCCATAAGATCTTCTCCAAGTTTGGGAAAATCACAAATGATTTTTATCCAGAGGAGGACGGAAGGACAAAAGGGTGAGTGACGTCCTCCAGCACGGACGTGTGGTTTGTGTTTTCTTGGCACCTGACGCCGTGAAGGTGGTGGCGCGATGGTGCTCTGCGGACTCCGGTGGATGGGCGAGCGCGGTGGCCCAGCCAGCCTTGTGTGCTGAGGTGGCCCTCAGCTGGTAGGGCCTCGGGGCAGGGGCCGTCAGTGGGAGGGAGAAGGGCGTCTGGTTCTGAGTTGGGTTTTGTGAGTTGGCTGCTGAGCTGCTGGG